TGCAGTGGTCAAGGCCAAGGGCAGGAGCAGAAGGAACAGGAGTCGGGGGTGGGGTGGGGGCAGACAGGGAGGTTCCAAAGCAGAAGGGTAAAAGTTTTGGGGTTAGATAGCCCCCTGGCTCTACCATTCCCAAACACTTATCTTTGGACAAGTTTCTCAAGCTCTCTGGACCTGCTCCTCAATCTAAGGTGGAGATAGAAATACTTAGGGCCATAGGGCCTAGTGAGTCCACCCCTTCCTAGCTTAGTAAATTAACCTCTTAGAGCCCCACTTTAGCCACCTATGAGGATAATCTCCTGTGAGCTTTAAATGTTAGAATGTGTATAAATCTCTTAGTACAGCACCAGGCAGAGGACGAGTGCTTATAATTACTCAATAATATTTAAAATTAAGAATAAATATGCTTAAATATGTAAATGCTCAGCACAGTGTTCGGTACAGAGGAGGAGCTCTAAGAATGGGCCCTGTAGCTATTACTAGTGCTTCTTTTTCTCTCCCCCATGTCATCATCCATCCAGGGCTACCTGACCAGGGACCCTATCTGCACCGGGAGAGGGCAAGACTTACCTCCCCATGATTTAAAGGATATGATTGGGTGTGAGGGGCTGGGGTGGAACCTTCCTTTTGGAGGGGTCCTTCAGCAGCGACAGGATACTTTCTCCCGTCCTGGAGAGAAGCCATTCAGACATTGATCAAGCCCCCATCGTGGGCCAAGCCCTAAACTCACCTCCATGAGCTCAACATCTCCCCCAAGCAGCCCCTAAGATCCAGGCCCTTCACTCCTTCCCCTAATTCTGCCCATGGCACTGCTCCCCTTTCTCACCTGTGCCACCTGCAGAGAACAAAGAGCAAGAGCAGGGTGAGGTGGGTGGCCAACAGCGCCAGGTGGAAGGCACGATGCAGGAACAGGGGCTCGGGGAGGAAGCGCCAGTTCACTGTCCAGCGGAAGAGAAACTGGCGACCAAGATCAAAGGAGCGGGATAGGTAGCCGATGGGGTTCTCCAGCAGGAAGGGCAGCCCCAGCACCACCTGAGGATGGGTGTGATGTCAGCAGAGTTGCCCAGGCTCACCTCCAGCCTCATACTAATCAGGGCATAGGCATCAGAGGTTCCTTAATTTCCATTAAGTATAACAAGAGAGGCAGCCTCCCTTGCCCCCTGCCAAAGTCTGGGGCCAAAGAAGCTGAGGAGACTGGTAATGACAGCATTTAAAGTCATAAATGGGCAGAGGTAGATAGGCCCCAAGAGATCACCTAGTTCAACCACCTTATATTACAGCTAAAGAAACCAAAGCTCAGCCCTGGCTGGTGTGGCTCAGTGGACTGAGTGCCGGCCTGCAAACCAAAAGATCACTGGTTCGATTCCTGGTCAGAGCCACATGCCTGGGTTGCAGGCCAGGTCCCCAGCTGGGGGCATGCAAGATCACACATTGCTATTTCTCTCCCCTTCTTTCTCCCTCCCTTTCCCTCTCTCTAAATAAATAAATAAAATCTTAAAAAAAAAGGGGGGGGGGCAGGGACCAAAGCCCACAGAGGTAGTAGGTGCCCAGTCCAGAATCAACTCCGAAACCCTTGTCTCTTGGCTTTGAGGAAGTCTCAGTTCCTCAAGGGGGGAAGGAGGCCAGACAGAGTAGCCTCCCCTTCATTAAAAAGGGGAAGGGGTAAGGTGCAATTACCTGTAGGACAGCACAGATGCCCAACTTGGGGAGGGCCCCACGGAGGCCAAATTGTGTGAGGAGAAGGAATAGTAACCCAGGGGCAAAGAGGAGCACATTCATCTTCACAGAGACTGCCAGGCTAGGGTGGGTAGAAGAGAGGAAGGGTGGAGATCAGCTCCAGGGCCATGCATCCCACCCAAAGATGCACCCCCCCACCATCATAGCAGCTCCTCCCCTCTACCACCAAGCTCCAGGATAGGGTCCACACTCAGAACTGCTGGGAGGAGGCTTGGGAGGGGGGGCGGGTAGGGAGTAGATACCTAGTTTCTATGCCCAGACTGAGCGAGCAAATATATACCGAGTATTAAGAATGTTCAATGACCAACGCCAACAACAGATGCTGTCTGGAAGGAAGAGAGGATGGGAAGAGGAGGTGTGTATGTTGTGGGTTGGGGTGGAGACTTTCTACAGATCCTGGACTCACCTAGGGGGGCCCTGACTGACATACATTGTTTGGCCACTCCCTTACTTTCTCTGCTGCAGAAGATCGGGAAGAAGGTGATGGAAATACAAAAAGTAAGAAAGGGGACCAGAAGGGAGGGATGTTGACCTGAAACAGCAGCAACCCCAGCCCCAGCGCTGGGCCAGGAAAAGGTTGATGCTGAGGAAGAGCAGCGCCATAGCCACTGGGTCATTGAAGAGCCGCAGCACAAAGATGGAGTGGACACGGTAAGAAGCGCAGCACATGAAGAAAAAGACGAAGGGAGGTACCTAAGAGGTGAGCAAAGTAGGGAAGGTCAGCTCACCAACCCAGAGCCACTACCACACCGCAGCCCTCCCAGATTGGGGACCCAGGTCCTGATGTTGTGGACTCACCTTACAGGTCTGGTGGTAGATTAAAAAGACAAGCAGCAAGGTGGCCAGGTAGAGCACAGCAAAGATATGCTGGGCCGTGCGGATGTCAGTGCCCTCGCCAGTGACATAGTATAGCCCCATAAAGATATACACGAAGCCAGCTGGGTACCTGAAAGATGAAAGGGAATGTGAGTCTAGGTGAGGCTACCCAGCCTAGTATCCAGTCAGCTCGTCATACCCTTGCTGAACCTCCAATCTCCACTCACACAAGAGGTCCAGTGTCACCCTGCAATTGGGTATAGTCATAGGTGCCATTGATGACGCCCTCTACCTCAGCCATGTAGGCCTTCCAGTCAATTTCTGTATCTGGAAAAGGAAAAAATGGTGTGGTTACATCCAAGTCCAGAACTTCTCTGTTTCCGAGATCTCCAGCCCATCAAACCACAGAATTCCAGTTCATTCTCAGGACTTCTATCACAACCCCTTACCTAAACGCGTACCTGGCATTCTTGGGGTGAACCCAGGCACCTCAAACTCAACACGTCTGTGATTGAATTTATAGTCTAGTCCAAACCTGCTCCCCTTCCTGGGTTCCATGAATGGCACCATCAACCTCCTGGCTGTCCAGGTCACAAATCTGAAACTTCCTTCTCTTTCATTTCCAACCCCCACTTACCATTTCTATTCTTCATTCTACGTATCTCTACTGTCTCATCCTTCTCCACTATTACATACCCAAATCTGGGCTTAACATAATCTGTAGCCTCAATCATGCAATAACTTCCTAATTAGGTTCCCAGCTTCTACTTTCACCCCACCACAATATATTTGCCTCCCTGCAACCAGGAGCTCTTACTATAATAGAAATCTCATCATGTGCCTCTACTTAAAACCTTTCAACGATTCCCCAGGGCTCTTAAGATAAAGACCAAACTCTATTATTCCAATTTTTAGAAGAGTAACATATGAATTATTGAGGTTAAGGACTAGCACAAGATCAGTGAGCCTGGAAGGGTAGAGTTCAAACTGGAATTCAGGATCCTAGATTCTTAACCACTATGTCCGTAACACAGCTTAGAGACTTCTTTATGATCTGGTCTTTCAACTTCTGCAATTTCATTTCTTAGTACTACCCTCACTTGAGCTCTATGTTCCAGCGCTAAAAAAAGACCCCAGAATTGGACAGATGGGACCCAGCTGGGGAAGTGACGTGTCCAAAGTCACAGAGGCGAGCAGTAGCAGCAGCACATTAACTTGGGCCGAGGCCTTTGCCTTCCAGGCTGGTTTACTTTCTTAGGTGGGCAGGCTGTACCTTCAGGGCAAAAGGCCAATCTCTAGGACTGCCACTTCCGTCATAGGGGAGGGATTAAGATCAGGTTTGGTTTTCTGTGGAGCAGGCTTGGAACTTGGGGTAAAAGATATGGGTCTGGAATTGATGACTACGTGGACCTGGGTCTGGGTTTGAACTCCGAATGTGAGTCGCGGTTTGAATGAGGGGTTCGGTTCCACCTCCCTCCCGCCTTCTCCTCTCCCCTCCCCTCCCCTCCCCCTCGGCGCACTCACATGCCACCCTGTGAATGACCCAGAAGGTGATCCCCACCTCCGCCAGGCAGAGGCAGGCAGCCACCAGCAGCGTGTAGCGCGGCTCCAGCAGCAACAGACGCCGCTCTTGCCAGGCACGCCGCAGCCACTGCCCGCAACGTCCAGCCACCCGGGATGCGGGTCCTGCCCGGGCGCGTTTCCGCACACCTGCCGCCATCTTGATGGTGCGCAGCTAGTGTGGGCCCGCCACTCTGGAAACCGGACCCTTTGGCACTTCGGTTCCGCTCTGCGCGCCGGCTGTCCTAACGCACTGAGCGTTGTTGACCTGAATTGCCAGTTCTTATTTATTACCCTAAAACTTACTTCTTATACATCGGTTTCCCCTGATGGACTGCACGCTCCCTACGAGCAGAAATGTTCTTACTCCGCAGTATATACTTTAAAGATGGATCGAACGTTTGTCCAGAAAAGCAACGTTCTTGCCCGCGCCCTGACCACCCCTTCCCGCCCAGCGTAACACTTCGCCTGTACTGACAATATTTGTGCTTATGCCGGTCATTCCTGGAGGGCAAGACCTGTGTCCGCGTCCCTCCCGCCACCCCTCAGAGCCTTCGGTTTGCTCAAAACTGGGAAGAGACGGATTTTTCAGACTTAATAGGAGCCGATCAAATTGAAAATATGAGAGAAGGAAGTGAATAATCCGAGTATGACACTATGAAGTGGTTCTCAGAAGTGAGAAGTACAGCACGAGGATACAGTCTGGACGACATAGTTTCCCCAGCCGGAGGATTCTTCAAAGAGCGCCTAGCATAGGGCGGAAGTTCCACGTGTTTATGTTGAGCAACCGCAGTCTGGGGCGGAGAGATAAAGGCCACGCCTCCTACCGTATTCCACTGTTCCGACTGGCTACAGAGGGAAGCCAAGCCCCACCTAAACAGGCAGGCCGACTGCCTTACAGGCCAGGCAGCAGTAAGCATGGCCTCACGCAGGTCCCCGGAGTCCCTGCCGGAGTTACCAGAACAGAACTGCGAGTACCGAGAAGTCCAGTACTGGGACAAGCGCTACGTGGGCTCCGCCGACTCTGCTCCCTACGAGTGGTTCGGGGACTTCGCTTCTTTCCGTGCCCTACTAGAGCCGGAGCTGCGGCCGGAGGACCGTATCCTCGTGCTAGGTGGGTAGTCCTGGCGCTGCCCAGCTCAGGTGGATCTTACTGGATCGGCTCCGCCTCGGCCGTCCGCGTTCGCTTTCCTCGCATCTGTCTATGCCGCTCTCTGAGGACGCCCCAGTCAGGAGCCAAGATCCAATATCTTCAGAATCTGGGCAGTATTTAGCCAGGGCAAACAGGAGCCAAGAGAGTCTTCGTTTGCTACTCACCCCAAACCACCTTAGAAAAAGTCTCTCTGAATCTGAACGTGGTAGGTGACCCAACGCCCCGTTCGGGACCCTCTCTCGAAGGGCAGCCCCGAGCACTGGAGACCTTAGAGGATCTAGTTCAAGATCCAGCGCTAGTTGGCTCTATGACTTAGGACAAGTCTTGAGCCCGTTCTGAGCCTCGGATTCATGTCTAGAAATTGAACTGCGAACTCAGTTCGGATAAGGCACATTCGGTCTCCTCGAGCACAGTGTCTGCCACTTTTCTCTTTGCGCCGATGCGTACTGGGAGCTATTGCTACCTAGAGAGAGTTAACTCATTACTTTACAAACTCTAAAACTTGGTCCTATGTCCTGTGCGCTGTGAGGATGAGGACAGCGCCCTCTGAGGTCAGAGGCGATATTGCGGTCGCGATTGGTGAGATTCCTCAAGAGCACCGATTTTCAACCTTTTTAATCCCATGGCACTCATAAACTAATTACTAAAATTCTGAGGCACACCAAGAAACATTTTTTTTTTACCAGTCTGAAAAAAAGTATAATTTTGATTCATTCACGCCAGACGACTATTATGTTGGCTGTCGAATTTTTTAATTTGACAATCTAAGGGAAAAGAGATCAGTGCCCCTGACTAAATAATCAAGTATTGCATTTAAAAAAAATTTTTGTGGTACACCAGTTGAAAATTGCTGCTCAAGAGTAACAGGTACTGGGATGCAAGAGGTCCAGCTGCCCCATTGGGTTCTCTCCTACTTCCACCTTTCCGGGTTCAAGGGAAGTTTGATTAAGCAAGGGGTTTCTTTCCAATTATAGTTTTTACAGTATTTTGGTATTTGTAAGAGCATGTATATGTTTAAGTGCAATATTTCATATACATGAGACACCTATAATACAGTATATGAAAGGTATAAATAATTAATATGTATGTGTATACCATACCCAGTTTGAAAATAGAACATTCCTAGGATTAGAAGGGAAGTATAACTTAGTGCTTAAGGATTTGGATCCTGGAGACAGCTAATTCTATTGGAATCTAGGCTGATGTAATCTTAGCTGTAGAATAACAGGCAAAATCATGGAATCTTAGTGATGTATTCCTGGACAAGATACTTAAATTTCCCTGCCCCCATTTTCTCACCCTTAAAAAAAAATAAGATTACTTACTTATTGGGTTTTTTAAGATGATTGAGTGAATATGAAAGATACCTAAAACAATGCTTGGCAAAATAAAAAGCCCTACGTATATCCAAGATTTTCTGTGTAGTCCTCTCAAACCTCTTCCCCCTAGAGGTAAAAATTCTTGAATTTTTTGCTTTTAAGCCATTGCATTTATTTATAGATTTACCATAGATTTAAGTTTTTAAGCTCCAGTGTATATCAAAATCACCTGGAAAGCTGGACCCCACCCTGAGATTATAATTCCAGGGACAGTCTAAGGTGTATGCTAGGAGTCTAGTTTCAGCAAGCTCACAGCTGATTCTCATGCTGGTGATTGGCAGAGTAATACTGCCTTAAAATCTCCTAGACTGGGAGGTGTCCTTTCCTGAGAGAGGGGAGAAAAGTCTAAAAATAAAAAAGGAAAACCCTGCAGGCATTATCCCCAAGATCTAAAAAGAGGACCCACAGTTTGGGGAGTATCCTATGTTACTTTCCACCTCAACAAACAAGCTGGGCACCTGGTAGATGCTAGGGAATGTACTGGGCTCTTTCTAAATTCTTTAACCTTTATGACAATGCTGAGAGGTGAGTAGTAAGTATTAACTAGACTTACTCTATGTCAGGGGTCAGGACTTTTTCTGAAAATGGCCAAATAGTAAGTATTTCAGGCTTTGCGGGCTATACAGTTTCTGTCACTTGTCAATACTACTGCTATAGTGGAAAAGCAGCCACAGACAGTACATGAGTGAGAATAGCAGTGTTCCAGTAAAACTTCATTTACCAAAACAAGCGGCAAGCTGAATTTTATAACCCCTGCCCCAGGTCATTGTCTCAGGTTGGGTCCAGAAGCAAATTCTAAGATTAGGATTCATGTCCCAGTCGTTTGTTAGGGACGTTCTCCTAGAAGAAATTGGTAAGAGAGTGAGAGGACAAGGAAGGGAAGAGGTCAAGCAGGACTGGGATCACAGGCAAAATTTCCCTGAGGGTAGTTTCAGATTGAAGAGTCACAGATGCAGTCTGTCAGAAGCAAACACACACTAAAACCTAGTGACGCTCCAAGGACATCTGGTCAGAGCAGTGACAGTGTCCACTGCTGTCATGTAGCAAGTAAGGGGTGAAGAAAGGATGCCATTTGACTCCAGAGCTTCTATTTCTCCTGCTGCATCACACACATGGGCATAGAGAAGCATTTAGAACTCTCTTAAGACCGGTAAAATGACTAAAGATAGACTGTCACAGCTGAAGGTGAGTGGACCTTAAAAACTTGGAGACAGTTTTGAATGGTGGTTTAAGAGCTCTGGTTCTGGCGTGAGACAGGCCTGGATCCAAATTCTGACTCTGCCACGGGACTATGTGCCCTTGAGAAAATTCCTTCTATACTTTAGACAGCCTCAGTTTTCCCATCTAGAAAATGGAAATGATAAAAATAGTTATCTTCTGTATGAAGGTACTTTGAAAATAAACTGAGATAATGCTTAGAAATGCATAGCATAGGACTCAGTGTTTGATGATGATTAACTATCATTATTGATGAAAATGGGAAAAGTAGGGGCAGTTTATCACAGACGGTTCAGAGAGTACCCTGCCTGAGGACTTGTGTGTCTGGTCCCTATGGATGGAATATCTTCATAGCAGATGAACACATATGGCTGTCCCAGCTTTGCCATCATTATACATCTCTGATTCTCTTTGCTTGACTCTATGCTCCGCAGGGATCTTCTGATCATAATTTGGCTTCAATTTGTACTTCCTATATAAAGAGAAGAGACTGACCAGAGGAATGCCTGTCAAGTCCCCCTGGTGGCTATTTTTGTTATAAGTTAATGAATTGGTGTTCTGGCTTACACCTCAGTCTCTTGGTGTTGGGATAACACCCACATAGCTCTGGACTCCCATGTAGTGGGTTCTTGGATCTGCCTCAGTTTTCCAGGGCTCTGCTTCCCTAAGGCTCCACCCAGGGAGGCAGGGAGCTCCCCAAGCCTCATTTTAGTTACTATCCCCAAATCACTGAGACAGCAGGATCAAAAATCACTACTTTGTAAGCATGACTGTCCCTGTGATCAGATTTTGTTCTTCCTTCATCTTTGGTGAAGTTTTCTTGGAAGATGCCACTCTTTTACCAAGTGGAATAAAGGAAAGATATTTGAGTTTGTCTGCTGTTGGACAGAGCTTCGTGGGCATGAGGTCAGGTGTAGGGTGGTAAAGGGATTGTGGGTCAGAGAACCCAGTGGGATTTCAGCCTGAACTGAGTTAGGGTCTCTGGTTTAGCAACCCTCACCTCCCATCCCACGTGGTGTATCTACCAGAGCTTGCTGTAGGAAAGCATGCATTGGTTTTTCTCAGGCAAGATGGTAGTGTCCCCGAGCCCTGGGACGTGAGGAAGAACACAGGAAGGAGCAGCTGAGGACTAGCCAGCCTCCTCTGGGTGCCCTAACCTGATACCAAGCCCTGCTAGACTAGGGCTATCCCAACAGCTGATCCTGTAACTTTCTGCGGGACACAAATGAAGGTTAAAAGCAATCTAATCTCAAGAGCATCCCCATGTGGGGCCACCAAGAGCTGTCATCTGGCCCTGTTCTCAGGCTGAGACTGACCATAAGAGGGCCCGGAAGATGCCATCAATCTTCAAAGGAAGTCATGCTGTATGGACTGCAGCTGCACATCCACCCCTCTAACCACCCATTCTTTCACCTGACCCAGCACTCTTTGGGACTGCTTTTCAGGCACTTCCCACCAGTATTATGATTCTTCAAGACTGATTGGTTGTCACCTTCCCTGAAACCCTTGCCCAATCCACCTGAGGTGGGGACAGGGATCATCCTATGTGCTCTTGCAGCCTGTTCCCATTGAAACACTCATCACATTATGTGGCAGTTGCCTGATTACACATCTGTTCCTCCCACCAAAGTATGAGCTCTCAGGGTCAGGGACTCTTACTCATTGGCAGAACCCAATGTAGTGTGCAATACATAAAGGAATTACAAGGGATCAGCTGTACCGTGTCCCCACCTAGTATCCCCGTCACTTGTTAACTTTGCCTTGGAAGCCAAAAGTAGGATAATAACCCCTATTATGAAGTCTTCCCAGAGGTTCTCTGAGAGGTATTAGGAAAATACTAATAATATCCTAGTAATATTATGATCTTAATGATGCCAATACTATCCCATTCTGCATCTGAGAAAATCGAGGCTCAGTGTTGAGTGACTTGGCAAGGCAGCGTGACTAGGAATATCAGAACTCAGATCTTTGAACTCCTACATTCAGAACTTCAGCTACTCTCCAGCTGTTTTAGTTCTTAAATTCAGTGAGCACTTCCTGCATGCAGGCTGTCTTATCTTTATTTTTCTGAATAGGAAATGCAAGTTCCTACTTCTACAGCTAGGAATGATAGAACCAGGATATGTGCCCACACCTGTATGACTCCAAGCCTCATGCTCCTTTCTGTACCATGCTGCCTCTCCCTCAGTACAGGAGACTTTGAGTTGAGAGAAAAATGGGCTAAGAGTGGACGGAAAATTGGGAGGGGAGAACCAAAGCTAACCTAGCCCTTTTGCCACCCACCTTTTCTCACCCTAGGCTGTGGGAACAGTGCCCTGAGCTATGAGCTGTTCCTTGGAGGGTTCCCTGATGTGACCAGTGTGGACTACTCATCAGTAGTGGTGGCTGCCATGCGGGCTCGTTATGCCCATGTGCCCACACTGCGCTGGGAGACCATGGACGTGCGGGCACTGGGCTTTCCCAATGGCTCCTTTGATGTGGTGCTTGAGAAGGGCACGCTGGATGCCCTTTTGGCTGGAGAGCGAGATCCTTGGACTGTGTCCTCTGAAGGCATCCACACTGTGGACCAGGTGCTGAGTGAGGTGAGGGAGCATCAAGAGTGGAGGGCAAACCAAGAGGTGGGGATGAGGGGTTGAGGTTTCAGGAGAATGGATGAACTCAGAATCCAGAAGAAGGCATGGTTTGGAGCGGTTACTCTCAGGATTGTGGTTACTTGAGGAAGGGAAGGTTTATGCTGGGTCAACATTATAGGAGGCTGGAGTGGCCAGGCTCACAGAGGCTGATGATTGGCTACTGGGTTGCCATATGGATGAGGTAGCAGCCAAGTTCCAGATAGGTAAGAGGCTGGGAGGGCGAGCAGTTGGCTGGAAAGCAGTATCCCCTGACTTGACATCGCGCCCATGCTCCTTCCTGTCTAGAAGACAGCCCTACCCCCATGAATGACCGGGGCACAGAAGGAGGCGCACTCTTTTACCATGGAGAGCTGGATGTAGGGTAGTACCTGGAAGGGCATCTGGGGCAATACTGACCTTCGAGAACCTGGAGATGGACTCCTCACCAATGGCTTCTCTGTCTGCCTTGCAGGTGAGCCGAGTGCTGGTCCCTGGGGGCCGGTTCATCTCGCTGACCTCTGCTGCTCCCCACTTTCGGACTAGACACTATGCCCAAGCCCGTTACGGCTGGTCTCTGAGGCATGCAACCTATGGCAACGGTTTCCACTTCCATCTCTACGTCATGCACAAGGGCAAAGAACTTAGTGTGGCCCAGCTGGCCCTTGGAACCCAGATCTTCTCACCCCCCAGACCTCCCACCTCACCCTGCTTTCTCCAGGACTCAGATCATGAGGACTTCCTCAGTGCCATTCAGCTGTGAGGCCAGAAGCGTGGCCCTAAAGTCCTCCCTCCCTTTCTGCTCCAGGCTCCTCAAGTTGTTGTAATTCCTGACTCAGGGCTTAGGGCTGGGTCCACGGTGCTCACATCCCAAGGGCCTGATGCCTAAGATAGAGCTGAGAGGAGCAACCCAACATGAAACAATATAGCCCAGGCTGAATTACATCCCAAATCCCAGGTTTATGGCTTCCTTCTTGGGTTCCTCAGATCTCTTCTGGGCTTCCCTAACTTCCTCTCCGACCATATTCAACTACCACAGCCCCTCCACATGCCAGCCAGACTCAGAGGCCTGCATCCTTGGGGCCTGTTATTGCCCCCCGCTCCCCCCATTCAACCTGGATTATTCCACAGGAGGTTGCAGACTTTGAATCTAGATTGCTTTACAATTCTGACCCTGGCTCCAGCCCCAACTCGGGTGAGCTATCCTGCTCTGGTTGTATTTTTACCCAAGACTACCTACCTGCCTGTGTTTACTTGGCAACCTCCCCTGCCAGAAACGTGTACCTGGGATTCTCAAGTACCCACCCCGCTCCCCAAAAGGGACTGGAGCCATTTTGGCCTGACTCCTGAGCAAACCGAAGCAGGGGCCACATACACGCACACACACAGGAAGGTCTGTGTTTATTCACACACTCCTGGTACAGTAAGGATGAAGGAACATTTACAAAGGACAACCCTGGGTTGAGAACATCTCTAGGGCCACAGGTGTCATCCAAGGGTGCTGAGCTGTCCCCATTTAGGTTCCCAGGGGGCAAGGGGTAGGGGTCCAAGGTACAATCAGACCTGGACCCTTGGAAGGTGATACCTTGAGGGAAGGGGTCTGCCAGAGAGCCACCAGGGGTCAGGCCTGGGCAGACTGGCCATGTGTTGGTTACCATGTTAGGGGCTTGTCCATTCCCACCCTCAACACTCGTCCTACCTGCCAGGCGCAGAAGAGCCAGGACGAGACAGAGGCGGGTGGGCACTAACCATGAGGGGAGCCAGTAAACAAAGAATCGGATATAAAAATACAAATGTGCTGAGGAAGTCCCTTAGAAAGAGGCTGAGGCTGGGGTCACGCCAGACTGGGTTGAGGGTGGGAGTAAGGAACGGCCTGGAGGGCTGGGCTGAGGTGGGGAAGCTCATGCAAATACGCAGCCAAACATCCCTGGCCGCGCACGGTCGGACACACCGGCTGGCAGCCGGGTCTTCCGACCAAACCGGCCGGAGAGGGGCGGGGCGAGGGAGCCGTGCGGGAGGGGTTGGGCCTGGGTCTGGGGCCGCGGGTCTCTGTCCGTTCCGGTGTGCGGGGTGGGGCTGCGGCCCGAGGTTCTAAAGTGCATGAGCGCGGCGGCGGGCTCCGGGCGGGTCCGCGCCGCCGCTACCGCCGCCGCCGTGGTGCTGAAGCGGACAGCTCCGGAGTGCCTGGCGGCGGAGGCAGCGACTCTGACCCGGAGGCGGCGCAGCCCTGCAGCCCCCGCCCGCGGGCGCCGGGGCCGGGGCGGGGGCGCCGGCAGCCGCATCGCCGGCCCGCGCTCCTGGCCGCTGCGAGGCCGGGCCCGGAGCCCGCCGCCCGAGCCGGCGCGTCTACACTCCGGACGGCGGCTTCTCCCCCATCCCCTTCAGCACGTCGTCTATCCGGTCATCCTCGATCACCACTGCGCAGGGAGAAAGCGCGTCAGCCGCGCGGCCTCGGGGGGCAGTGGGAAGGAGCCCCGCGCCCCCGCGCCCCACTCAGACACTGCCCGCGGCCCAGCGACGCCCCTCGACCCCCACGCCACCGTGCCCTCCCCATCCGAACTCTCCTGCCGATTCAACCCTCTGCCGACCTCGGCTTTCACAGACCCCCCTTCCCTCCCTGAGGAGGAACGCCCCCTCTTTCTAAGGCTCCAGCCCTTCAACCTCCTGGTCTGCCTGACCTCTCCTCCATCCCAGCTAAACAGAAACATTTTTGCTTATGGGATCCCCCTCTTCAATCCTCCCTGCCACTGGACCCCCTCCTCAAATGGAATCTCCAGTGAATCCAACCCTCTTCCCACCCTAACCCTCTCGCCGCTTGAACCCCTCTTCCAATTCTGGCACTCATAGAAGAGCCCCCTCCCTGTTCAGAGAGCCAGGACCTCCGATCCCCTGGCCCTCCTGCCTTCTCAGATCGGACGCCCCTCCCCACCCGAAGGTTCTGCCGTAGCACCCACCGACTCCGCGTTTGATCCTAAAGAAGCGGCCCGTCGCCCCACGTCCCCACTTCCAGTTAGCCCCAAATGCCCCCGGCCGGCCCCTCCCCCTCGCCCGGGTGCCAGGGCTCTACTTCCAGAGGTGCCGAGCATCGAATCCGGGGCATTGCGTTCCCGGGAGAGGGAAAGAGGGGAACAACACTGCAGTGGGGACCCCCCCCCCCCACCACAAACCCCAGCCGGCGAGCGCCTGGCTGCGCTGGTCTGCGGCAAGAGCTGCGGCCGACTGGCGGGGAACCGCAGCCGGGAGGCGCCCGGCGGAAGGTTTCTGGGTCAGGCGGAGACTTCGGGCCCCGGCCGCGTACCTCTCTTGGCTCGGCCGATCTGGCCCAGCTTGGGGGGTCGCTTGGCTTGGTTGCCCGCAAAGAAGGAGTTGGTGTCCTGGAGGCGGCAGCTGAAAGAGAGGTCGGAGCCCTCGGGGTCGGCGCCGAAGCGGCCCATCTTGTCCTCACTGTAGGGCAGGATCTCGGACATGGCGGGCGCGGGGTGGGCGCGGGACTGCGGCGGGGCGCGGACGGCGGGCTAGCTGCCGGACCGGCCCTAGCTCAGCAGGAGAGCCGGCGGAAGGATGAAGTCATGCAGCATCCGGGGCTGCGGGGCCAAAGCGGGGCCTCCTCCCCCGCGCCTCCGCCTCCCGGGCCGCTGGGCAGGCGGCGGCGGCGGCGGCGGCGGCGGTGGCGGGGACCGGGCGGGGGCGGTGCGCGGGGGCGGGGGTGGCGGCGGCGGCGAGAGCGGAATGACGATGAGCGCCCGACTGCGGCAGAGCGCAGCGGGCGGGGCGCGGCGGAGGCGGGGCAGGCAACGGCCACCAGAGAGAGGCAGGGGGGCGGGGGTCTGGAGGACCCGAGAGTGCCCGACTCGCAGGAAGGGGAGGGAGGGGAGGAAGCGGCTGTGGGAAGGTCCTGCACAATGGCGGGAGGGGTGGCAGGGCGAACGGTACTGGCCAGCGGGTGCAGGATCGGGCAGGGAGCGGCGGGACGGGAGGTGGTGGCCGGAGCAAGCGAGCATCCGAGGGGCGAGAGGCTCTGAGAGCCGAACAGGTGGGACTGGGCATTGGGGGGGCAGGTCAGGGCCGGAAGGCGGGAAGGAGGCTGGCACTCGACTTGGGGCTCAACATTAGAAACGCGGCGTGGGGAGAATCAGATACCGGGTGAGCTGTGGGGTTTTCGCGAATCGGCAGGACTGGGGAAGCGCGCAGGCCGGTGGGTGGTATCCTCGCCGTTGGCGCGCTCTTAGATCGGGTTGCTCTTCGGAAGTCTGTGTGTTTCCCTGACTGCCCTTCTGTGTCAGTCTCTGCCTATCTCTGTATCAGTCTATCTCTAATGTGTCTGTTTTATCTTTCTCTGTAGCTCATATCTCTTTGTGTTACGGTCTCTGTTTACGTCTGCCTTGTACCAGTCCCCTTGCTTGGCCCCTGTGCCTATATGCCATTATCTCTAACTCCCGAGCCTCCTTGTGTATCTCGGTCTTACCTTGGAGAGGTTCGGTATCTGGGCAGAGACGCATGCAGCAGGGCAAATACCCACCCCCAGCCCTGACGCTGGAGCCTAAACTCGGGTTCAAAGCCTCTGCCGCACCCTGCGGTTTTCCCGGTCCCGGAAGCCCGCGCTGCGCGTGCACTACGAAAAAAATGAATGGTGGTGGCGTGGAGGGGGGCGCCCTGGCCGCAGATGACGCGGGGAAGCCCGGGGCGCCTGAGGACACCGCAAGAGTGGGCGTGGGTCCAGAGGTAGAAGGGGAGGGAAAGAGGGCACCTCCCCAAGCCCTCATTGAAGGGGGTCACGTGACAATCCTCACCGCACCAACGAGAATACACCCTCATCTCACCCGGCTCCCGGACAGGCCGTCAGCTCGGCGTCACCTGCTCGCTAGCGCTCAGGGGCTCTGTCGCAATCACTGGCCTTGGAAGAGAGGGGTGTCTCACGCTCGCCCACAGTGATGACAGCACTGATAAGGGAAGTAATCATTCCCTATGTTCAG